GGTCGGAAATTTTTCAGACCCCCTCGGTATGTTATTGTAAAAAAATATTACTAAGAGTATTTTGGGAAAAACGGAGGAAAGCCACGGCTCAAGCCAGCAGAGCAATGTAGACAGACAAAAGACAGTTGCACTATAACATCTAATATATAACATCTATGACATGATAATATTATAACAGTCACTCGATACACATATCCGATACGAATACTATAACATCAAAATCGAATGGCTTACTTGTCTTGGATGTGGCAAATGAATAAAACTCTTAAAAATAAACTGCAGCAACTGAAAGCGCTTACCTTTGCCCGCCTGTTCATTTGGATTATCATCATTTTTCCACCTAATGAAAGTTTCTTCTTCAATAGCTCCCATATCATAAAGGCAATTGCAAATTTGAAGTAGAAGACCTAGAAAAAAAAATAGGCATTGTTTGATTAAAAAATAATTATCTTCTCTAAAAACGATTCTCATCCATCTGTTATCGTTTCTGACAAACACAAAATATTTCCTGAAAATTTTAAAGTTAACAGTTCGAGAGGAATAAGTTTACTGTTCAATAAAAAAACCGATACTTTGTTTTGGTTGCTTTCCGGGTTTTGCCGTGGTCTTCTTTGGTTACAATCTGCAAACGTTTCGACTGAAACTGAGGCAGTCATCTTCAGTGGCGTGGTCGAAGTACTCTTTCTTAACGTGTCAACTGAAAATGAAGCTCTCATTTCTACCGTGTCATTTAATATTGCTGATTTTTCGCGCACTTTCTGTATTGGTTCATTTGCCTTCGTTTTGGCGCTGTTCAATGCTGTTTGCCACATCTTTGGTAGATTAGTTCTCTCTTCCTTTCTGTTGAAGTTCTCTTGGTGTTTGTGTATTTCTATGGCTTCTAAATGCATTCTTGTTGAATAATTATTCAACGTTGCTAGCATCTCGGTTTTTTCGAACAGGATCATGTGATCCCCCTCGGACAGTGCATGTCCAGCAACTGCAGACTTCTCGGTCTGTCCCAATTGGAAACTCCGCTTGTGCTCGACTAGGCAGGTACCAATTTCGTCAAACCGATATAGACTTTACCAGTTACATAGAATCCTTTGCTGGTTTGATCTTCACTGATGTTTCTCTCCTTCTCCCTTGGACACGCAGCGCGGAGTATGCCTTTTCTGTCGTAGCCGTTCGCTTGTAACACAGTTGTTAGATGTTTTATTTCGTCGTCGACGTACCTTTTTTCACATATTCTCAAAGTTCTGTTAACTAGGGTGTTGATAACGGTTCGTTTCTGCTTTGGATGATGGTTGGATCCATTATGTAGGTATCGATCTGTGTGTGTTTTCCTGTACACCTTATGGCCTAGTTGATTATCGTCCTTGATGACTAAAACATCAAGGAATGGGATTTGGAGGTTTCCTTGTAATTCCATGGTGAACTGTAATTTTTGGTGAAAGCTATTCAGATGATTTAGGAAGTTCTGAAGTTCTTCTTTTCCATGGCTCCAAATAACGAACGTGAGGTTTGAATGGTTGTCGTTAGTGAAAGTCGAAATGAGTTGATATCTTGTGGAAAGACTTCCTCTATGTAGCTGAGGAATTCCTTGAGTGGTACATTTGAGAATAAGGATACAATATCGAAGCTAGCTGGAGTCAGTAAAGTCTTGGATATACGTCTTAGTCTTCCCAACATGTTTCTGGAGCACATCCGACAAATGTTTGTCGAAAATGTAGGTTGGTGATCCTAAGGCACTTGATATCGGTTTCAGTGGTACATCCTCTTTATTTCCAATAGAGTAAAACTTTTTATGAAAAAGTTGTTGAAGTCGCTATGAGCAGTCTACTTAACCCAGTATAACTATGACGATATAAGCTTATAATATCCCGGTCAGAAATAAACAACTTTACAGAACTTCAATGACCACCATGACTGCACTTGATTACAAATTTTGAAACATGTGGTTTATAGATTTTTAATGAGAGTTCGATTGTATAGATTGCGAATTATGATAATGCATAGACTTGGAGTTTGAAGAATGAATCTAGAGTGGGCCAGTGGATCCGACCTCTTCCATCACTGGAATCATTTGAAGTGCATTATAACCTCCAAAGAGTTCACAAATGTACAGGCATGTCCTTTTCAAAGAGTATACCAATTGATGTGTTACTTTTTATTAGAGTAGTTTTCTAGCAGCTTTGACTACAAATTGTACATATTTAGGTCATCTTCATCGCCTCCCAGATGTCTTGCTAAGTGCTTATATTGAACAGGTAAACCTAATACCGTGAATACTGTTTGAACTTTTTCGCTAAATTTGAATCCAGCATTTTTAACTTCATGATATAACCCGTTTCGTCAATTTAGTTATTGATTGATCGTTTCGTCTGAACTTTTGGTGGTATTGATGAAGTCTTTAAGTAACAGTAAGCCATGCCATCAAGTATCAAATTCAGCATGGATTTTCTTCAAAGTTTTCCATGTCTTTAACTGTTTTACAAGCATTATATCATCAAGAATGTCATTATTCACCAATAGATAGAGAACAGATTTTGCACAACGATCTTTCTTCCAGTTTTCTTTAATTCCAATTTTGTTTTCATCCTCAAGTTAAAATAAATGTGAGATTTGAAATGCATAATTTTTAGTTTTTGGAGTCGTTACTAACAAAAAAATAAACTTTGGCATCCTCAGAATCGTTTACTATTACCCAGAACCCACACAAAATTTAAACCTGTTACATCTTGGCGCCCAACGTGGGACAATATCTTGGGAGTAAGTTAACATACGGGGAGGGGGGCACAAGGTACAATCCCCAAAGAAACTGTTAATGACAATCCATATAAAAACGGCGGCAGGAATCCAACAGAAGTTGTTCAAGGAGAAGATCAAGTAGCAGCAACGGAAATATTGAGGTCAAATTTGCTGGTAATACCAAACAGTTATCACCAAGGTTGGCGACTCTTATTCCTTCTTGATTTCTGGCTCAACCCGAAGCAAACTAACCACTCTCTTCAATGTCAAAATCCTATAATTTTCCGGGATACGTTTACACGCCCACCACTGAAGATGCAAAATTTTGGGGCTGATCGAAAAATTCCTCTCAAACTGCAAATCCATTCCACGCCGTATCTCAAGCAGTTAATAGTGAAAATCCAGTAATAAATGTATTCACTAAATTATAACAAACAGTACAAAATGTTAAACACTCACCTAACCAAAATAATTCAAATTATAATTAATCGGTTTGTAATTTTTAGTTTTAGGAGTCGTTATGGACTATAGAATAAACTTTGACATCCTGAAAATCATTCACTATCCCATTTATCCATGTTACAATATATGTGTGAATATGTATATGTGTATGCGTGTATGTACCAGGGTGGTATGAAAAGTTTCCTACCTCAACATGAAGATAGCAACACTCGTAAATAAAAGCTAGTGATTTTCGTTGTTCATTTGTTGACAGTTTTTTTGTACCTTGGGAGCTGTCTGACTTGTCCATTTAGTCCAAGTCTCCAGAAAACACTGCAGCCTCTTGGGCTTATTGCGTTTATTCTCCCATCTTCTCATGACAATCATTCCATCAGTCTCGGTCCCTGTACTAGTTTGTACAGGTTCCGTATTCGTCATATTCTTCTGGGCGTAATTTTGTACGTCCGTATATAGCCTGCCTCCTGTGATTCAGTGCCTCACATTCGCATAAGATGTATAGAGCTGTTTCTATCCCTTTGTTGCATAATCTGCAGCTGAGGTCTCCGTTGTACATTAATAAGCCTTGCACACTGCAAGATATCATACACTTCCGCCTGAAAGACGGATGTGTATAGTCCTAGCGGATAGCTGTAGTTTAGATTTCTATCCGCTCGGTATATTCCAGCTTCTGTTCCATGTTTGGTCTTCGATCCATCTGTATACCAGGTGTTTTTTCTAAACATGTTTTCGGGTGGTATGAAAAGTATCCGATCTCAACATGAAGATAGCAACACTCGTAAATAAAAGCTAGTGATTTTCGTTGTTCATTTGTTGACAGTTACTCCACCAAAGTTTCAACCATTTTTGACGCGCAGTTGTTATGTAACAGTCGTTTGAGTGAGTTGACGTGAGTGTTTTTATGAAAATGGACAAAATCGAGTATCGAGTTGTCATCAAATATTTGTTTTTGAAAGGTAATACGCCAACGCAAATCAAAGATGAGTTGGACTCTGTGTATGGGGCCTCTTTGCTATCATTTACCACAGAAAAATTTTGGGCAGCTGAATTTAAACGTGGCTGTGAGAGCTTGGGAGACGATGAACGTTCGGGATGCCCATAAACTGCAACTACCGACGAAAATATCGCCAAAGTTCACTAAATGGTGCTAAACATCCGCCGAATTAAATTGAGAGAGATACCAGAGGTTATGAACATGTCAACGTGTTTGCCACATTAAATCAACATTTAGGCATGAGCAAGCTGTCCGCGCGTGCTCACGTTAGACTAAAATCGTGTTCAAATAAACATTTCCAATGCTCTGATGGAGCAGTGTAGGCGCAATAAATCCGAGTTTTGGCGCCGATCAATTACTGTAGATAACACTTGGGTACAAGATTACACTCCGGAAACAAAAATACAGTCCAATGGGAGAATCGGCTCCAAACAAAGGAAACATTGTTTTTTCGGCTGCGAAAGTAATGGTGACTGGTTTTTTGGGATAGTCATGGAGTTATTTCAATCGGTTATCTCTAATTAGGAGAGAGCATACTATGCAGGAGCATACTACGCATAATTACTTAACAATCTGAAGGCAGAACTTGCAGAAAAAAAGCCACATTTGCAAAAAAAAATCTGTTTCAACAAGACAACGCAGCGTCTCACACCTTAGCGGTTGCCAGGAATTGCGGTTTGAACTGCTTGACCATTCGACTTACTCAGCAGAACTAGCCCCATGGGACTTCTTTTTGTTCCCTCATCTAAAAATTGCAATCGGAGCGTAGAGATTTTCGTCATGAAGAGTCAATCACCTTCGTGAACAATTATTTTGCAGAGAAAAACGCCTAGTACTATTTGGACGGGTTACAGATATGGGTGCATCGCTGGGAGAAGTGTGTAAGAGTTAAAAGGAAACTTTTCAGACCACCCTCGTATGTATGTACGTTCACATATCGTCGGTCCAATGCCAAAGTCACGAATGTGCCAATTTGCACATTTTCACCTATGTGCATCAAAATGTCGGAATTTAATTCATAGTAGCAATGCCAAAAGCGCGAAAGTATCTGCTCATCCCCTCTCTCCCTTCTAGTTGGGACTTATTCCACGAAAGCGTCAGTTGGAGATTTGCTGCCAAAACAAAAACACGAATGTACCACGTTTGTGCTTTTGCCGTTGCAAATTATTTTACCATTCAGATCCAAATTCACGAATGTGCCACATTCGTTATTTTGGCAGTGTAAACAATTGTGCTTTAAGATATTCGTGATTATAGTGATCTAGGTAAAATATGAGTTTGCCTCAAACAAGCACTCTTTCAATGGAGCTTTAGAACCAGATAAACGCGGGAAACATCAACCATCAAACAAATTACCACAGAATGTTGAAATATTTATACGAAACCAGATTCTATCCTTTCCAGCAGTAGAATCGCATTATTGTCGTCAATCTAGTAAAAAGAAGTACCTTGACCCATCTCTCAGTGTATCAATTATGTACAAAGAGTTGTGCAGCACTAAAAATGTGAAAATTGTTACATTTGAGAAATATCGCCAGATATTTTCCGAATACAACTTAGGCTTCTTTAAGCCAAAAAAAGACCAATGTAAGAAATGTTTGGCATACAAAAGAATGTCTGAAGAAGAGAGAAGGGTAGAAGACGAAATGTATCAAAAACATCTCAATAGAAAAAATGAAGCTAGACAAGCCTGCGATGTGGACAAGTTAATAGCAAAAAAGAATCCCAAGGTCTTGGCTTTCAATTTTGATTTGCAAGCAGTGTTAACAACTCCCAAAGGATGCGCTGGACAAATATTTTATTTAAGGAAACTAGAGGTGTATAATTTAACAATCTATAATTTAGGAAACCAAAATGTTATGTGCTACTTGTAGGACGAAACAAAGGGAAAAAGAGGGGCTAACGAATTTTCATCCTGTGTTTTATGATTATATTATGAACCATTCTGAGATCGAAGTAGTGCATGACGTCTGACGGCTGTGGAGGCCAGCAAAAAAATTCAATATTTGCAGCCATGTGCATCCAACTTCTGGCGGAACATCCATCATTGAAAGTAATTGATCATCGGTTTTTCGAAACAGGGCACACTGAAATGGAGTGTGACTCCATTCACTCGAAAATAGAGAAGAAGGCAAGATATGTACCCGTTTATACCCCTGAGGGGTAGGCGCAACTTATAAGAGATGCACGTATCATATCATGTCCTTTTACTGTAAAGTTTTTGACGATTGATGAATTTTTAGATTTTGAAGGATTTTCAAATAATATTAATTTCCTTAATTTCAATAACATTCCCTGGAGAAAAATTTGCAGCCTTCGGTATATTACAGAGAATAGTTGTATAAAAATTCTTTACAAAATAGACTTTACCGATGTTTTTATTGAAGTGAACTGCAAAAAAACAGAGGCCGTCAAAAACAAGCCCACTTAAAAAAGCCTATCAAAATGACTTGCCCATCAGCGAGGCAAAATGGAAAGACCTGGATAAAATGTGTAAGGATTTAACAATACCGAAAGCGTACCATGATTTCTACAGGTCCCTAAAAGCAAATCCCAAGGTAAGGGACAATTTACCGGAACCAGACATTGGTGAAGAGTCCGATACTGACGAAAACTAAACGTTAATTTTTTTAGGATTTTATTGTTGTTTTTTATTTTGTTTACTCCGATACTGACGGTTACGAAATGTTGATGTTTCATTTATTTTTTTATAGAGAACTTTTATGTTAGTTTTTGTTCAGTTCGCGACGAACGCTAATGTTTTATTTAAGTTTTTTCTGTAAAGAAATTTTATGTTTGTTTCTTTTGTTTAGTAGTTCAAAACGTTGTTTTTGATAAAACTATTTTTAATTTTCCTCATATTATGGGTTTTATTTGTTTTAACGAAACATAATATGTTGTAAATTTTGCAAAGCCAAAACAAGGAACATGCATTTTTTTTTTAAATATTACAAAAATTTAAAATTTTCAACTGATATTATTTTTTGTTTTGCAAAAGTAAACCTGTCAATGGTGGTTAAGTGCCACAAAATAAAATCTCTATTTTTAGCAATGTCGTCAATATTTAAAATGCGTTTTTCTCAAAACATCAATTATGCACATTCGTGACTTTGGCATTGGACAGACGATATAATAGACAATTCTATTTTATCATTAGTATTATCTCTATTGTATATTAATGTATACAAAATAACCCATTTTGTATAAACTAATTCTGTTAAGTATTTCTGTTATATTTTTCTGATAAACTACAGTTTTTGATGGTGGAACACTTATCGGCCCACACAACTTTGTTCTACGATGTATATTCAATATTTTCTCTATGAATAAAGCTTATTATTATCAGCTAAGTCGTGTACTCACCTTGAGGATACTCCATTTTGTTAATTAAAGTATTTAGACTATACAAACACTGCATCTCCTTATCAATGTCATCGACATATATGGGGAACAATCGTTGGAATGCTAGCAACTTGGACAGCGACAGCTTAGATTCGTTTTCAATTGAGTTGGTAAATATCGCAGTTGTCAATGCTCTGATGAATGTGTTACCCTTGAGATGATTTCGATACTTGGTCTAAGAGAAGAAAAACCTGGTTAGTTGTTTATTTTTAATGAACTTTGAACACTTACAGATATCAATTTCGCAATCGAATCAATGCCACTGCTGGTCGATAGGACTTTGCATAATGTATCCCTCATATTATCAAACTCCCTGCTGGTGACTGAAACATTCCGTTGCTGCGAAAGAGGATAAAAAATAAGCATTTATGTGAGTGTCGAAACTGATGGAAAACAAAATTTTTATGTATATATTTTTATTGTTGAAATTTATCGTCAAGAAGTTCATCTATCTGAAGTATACAGGCTGATTCACGGTGGCTGGCACATTAGACGTTTCTGGTGAACCAGACACCGGATCGCTTTGAAAATTCAATGTAGAGCAAGCATATTCGGACATTCTCTACACAACTAAAATATTTTCGACAATGCGGTGTTGCCACTTCCATCAGAAAGTAGAAGCAACTTTGATTTTTCAAATGGAACACCCTGTATATAATATTATTTATGGAATCTACAACAATTACCCGACAACTTTTCTTGACATCTTCCTATACCTATCTATTACAGTTTTCGAAATATGAATTAATTTCAATTTTTTTCTTCGGAAATCATGAGCTCTAAAAATGCTGATATTTTCGAGTTAAGGACTACTATGGTACCGAAATTTGGTTTGGAGTTAGGTGATCATTGAGGCTTCTCACACTTCAGCGTAATCTCGGTTACTTCAATACAGGGTGTTAAAAAAACAGTTTTTTCGTTTGCTCAAGGAAGTGACTGAAAGTTGGTTATTTCAAATGGAACACCCTGTGTGTTGTAAGCAGGTCATGATTATTATTTGACAGTAACGTTGTGACATTCTCCTAATAATATTGACATTTTAGTGACGTCGAAGTATCAAATTTCTTCAAAACGATTGGACAAAACTATTCAAACGAAGTTCTTATGAATTTGTTTATAATTTTTGGACGGTGTGATAAAACCATCAGCAGGACATGTAGAAAGTTCAACAAAAAGTATCCGAATCTACCGCAAATGAACCTCAAGAAATTTATACGGGTTTAGAACAATTTCAATGTATTTGGGTAAATTTAAAAAAATCGCGAAAAAACTTGAAAGAGGAAATATTGATATGAGTAGTTATGAAAAAGTAAAACAATCATGTGTAATATTTTCAAAATATGTTCGAATCGCTGGCCGTTCACTTCCAAGCACTTCAAAATGTGGAACACCCACCCACACCCAAATCTGCCATGACAAAAGCAGTCAACACGACTGCTTTCGTCATGGCAGATTTTATTTCATTGGGATCCAAATCTTCAAATGTTTCGGCAATCATTTCCGACAATTCATCTGTCGAACGCACGGATGTTTTGTAAACTTTTTCTTTAAACATTCCTCACAGATATAAATCTAGTGGATTCAAATAGGGTGATCTTGCTGGCCAATTCCATGGTCCCAAGCGCCTTATCTACCAAACGTTAAATCTGTCCAGTTCTGCGCTTACTTCTCTTATACAGAGTGGGCCAAATTGAACACTTTTGAAGGGAAACTCATGTTTTCAAACAAAGAGGAGTTACCATTCTTGCTTGGATGTTTTAGTGTTATAGTTATGAATGTTTGTTTTTTTCTACTATAAAGATGTATAATTCTCAAGAAAATATATTGATATTATTGAAAAAAAAATTACGCACAGGGGTTTGATGATAATGAGAGCGAGATGAAATATTTTCTAACCTAACCTAACAATTCAAAATCGTCACGTTTGTTAAGATAGTACAAATTAAGACAGAAAAAGTGATTTCTTTGCAATGCATTGTTTTTAATGTTTTTCTTCAGATGGTTTTCCTTTTTGTTTTTCATATGAAAAAACATAGGTGAATGATCTATACATTTATCCAAACGTTTTAATTTCATATCCTTTCATTTAAACTTTATAATTTAGTGGAGAAGTAAACGAAAGTTTATGTCTCATATTGAGTACGTCTTTTTATTTTAATGGCTCAGTAGATTATTTTGACAATCATATTGTAAGTACTTAAAAGTCGCTTCAACATCAAGTAGTGTACTGAAAAAGTATTCAAATTATCAAAAATTTATCCAGTGAAAAAAATGTTTGCAATATTTGAAAGTCGCTTCAACATCAAGTAGTCTACTGAAAAAGTATTCAAATTATCAAAAATTTATCCAGTGAAAAAAATATTTGCAATATTTGAGAGTACCTATATCGAGCATTAAGAAATATTGAGTAGTATCAAAAAATGTTCCCTTCGAAACGGTGTTCAAAATCTTCAAAGTGTTTTAAGAAGATAACAAGTCTCCCTCAAACTCAAAAAACACTTCAAATATCGAAAGCCACAAAATATATGTATCAAATATTGGCAGGACTTTAGTATTTGAGATAACGCCCACCAGGGGGAGTGGCATATCAATCGAAAGAGGACGATGAGAAGAACACAATGGTATGGGTTTCATCGCGAGGAAATGACAAAAAATATTTTTTATTCATATTATTTTATTACATATATTTTGGTTTGAACTGACTTTTTATACATTTAATGAGTTCTAAGAAGGGATCCAACTTATTGTGACGGACTTCCCGACGCCAGAGATATTCGCACATGTGCATGTTTGTCGAGCAGGATCGAAAAGCATCTTATCATGGTTTCGTCAGTCAACATTTCTTGACTGTACAGTTCACCTGAAAAGAAAAATACAGTTACAATAGAAACCAAAAAGGTGAACGGTGTTTGAAAATCTTAGTCAAATTAACTCAAAAATCTAGAAAAACTGCTTTCATGAAAGAAATCATGTTGAAGAAATAGCAATTCAGCAAGAGGAAAGTAACTTCGTATGACTAATATTAATAATAAAAAAGTATTCGTTTAGAGATCTTGAATTGAAGCTTACAGCTTTACTTTTAGTATTTTAAGCGAACACATTTTTCAATACCAGTGATTTCAACATCTATTGATAATTTGAAAAATTACTGCAGTGAATAAAAAAAAGCCCTCAACTGAATGAAAACTATCAGCTTTTCATTGATAAAAAAAATATGAAAAATAGCCGGCATGGGTTCTTATCAAAGTTCGCTACTACAGAAATCCATGCCTACTACCAAAAAATAGTTGAATTTATTGAAGAAGACGTGGGCCTTGGGATATTTTATGATCTCAAAAGAGTATTCCTAATCAAATAATAACAAAAATTATTTTAAACATCACTGAGTCCAACCTCAATGACAATGTTAGTACATAATTTTCAACTGTACAATATCAATTAGTCTTATGTTCTATTATTGTAGTTTTCCCTGAGGATGACAGTATACATTGTCGAAATGATTGGAATATATTGTTAAAAGAGTAGACTTTCTCAATTGCTGCTTATCCAAATATTTACCCGTTTAATTCCTAACTGGTCAGCAAAGACTATCTTCTTTCTATATATATGCACATGCCTGCCAAATTTCAATTTTTTACTCATTGTCCTTTAAAAGATATTAAACAAACACTATCTAATTCAAAAAATGAATTCAATTCAATAGTCTTCCTTCAATAAATGCTTAGAATGTCAGGGATAGCTGACAGTGACATTGTCATAAAAAAGTTATCGAAAAAAAGTAAGGAGAGTAGTATCGCATTCCAATCATATTTGTGCACGAAAACTGTTATTCGTTTCACAACAGCAAGAGCTGTTGGCTGTTGTCAAAGGTGTAGAACATTTCTACAAATACGTGTATGGAAGAAGATTTCTGTTGAGAACGGACCATGCGGCTCTCAAATGGCTTCTGCAGTTCAAAAATCCTGAGGGCCAAGTAGCGCGCTGGATTGAGAGACTACAAGAATTTGACTTCGAAATAGAACATCGAGCTGGGACTAGCCATAAAAACGCAGATGCCCTATCACGGAGACCATGCCCCGATGACTGCTCACATTGCCGACGAGCAGAAGAGAAGGAAGCAGCTATTTGTAGAACTAGAGCTGTGGACGTCAACTGGGAGGATGATGAGATCAAGGAAGACCAAGAAAAAGACCCAGATCTTGGTTTAGTCATCCGATGGAAGAAAAGTAACCGAAGACCATCGTGGCAGGAGGTAGCAGGTTATTCGCTAGCGATTAAGTCCTACTAGGCACAATGGAACTTCTTTACCTTGGAAAACGGGGTTCTGAAGCGGGTGTTGGAGTCTGAAGACGGTGCAGAAGAAAGGCGCCAGACAGTGGTACCCAGGAGCAGACGATGAGAGGTGCTCAAAGAAATCCATGATGCAGTCACATTATGGAATTGATTCTTGCTTAGAACAACTCAAAATACTTTTATTCAAAATTTTAGTTTTTGAAATAATCAATTTTTAACAACCTTACTTTTCTTATTATGACAACCTTATGCTTTCTTGTTTTTTTATAATAGAATATATCGACAGGTATAGGAACACATATACAGGAGAAGCCAGAATGGTCACCACACGTTATAGACCTATTCCGACTATGGTGAAATCATGGTATGGAAATATAAAATATTTTCACCTGGATTGCTGGGTATACACTTGACGTGTATACCCAGCAACACTACTCGTCACTTTGCAACACTCCTTTTATTCATCTATTTGAATACGTTGGGTTATTCCAACTGAATTTGAAACGGTGAGGAGGGGGTAATTCTTTACCACAGGCTGGGCGTTCATGTTCAATCAACAAGATATATCCAGCGCTCAAAATCACAATATGATGTTGCTGAAGGTCATTTAACGTCAAAGCAGAAAGTCTAGAAGGCACCTAGTCTACGCAGTTGAAGGTCATTCATGGTCGAATCCTTAAAACTTCATGATAGTTACGTGACACGAAGTATGAATCAAGGTCAAACTCAAAACACTCCCTCAAAGTCACCTCGGCTACGTCTTATAACGTAGTTCAAGGTTTCAAGTAGTGGGTGAGGTTCCGAAATCGGCTTAACACAACTACTAGTATTGAAATAAATCCTATTTTTTCACGTAGTTTCTTTTTTTAATTTTTCTTTCAACTAATTTTTCATCAAAATCAATACCTACCCATGAAACTCATAATTTCCATGGCCCGTGTCCTCAATTTTTTGTGCCTTTCCAATTCGAACTGCAGACACTTCAATTCTTCAGGATCATTGCTTTCCTGAATCTGTTTCAGGATGAAGTTTCTTCTAGATTCATTGACAGAGTGTTTTTCGAATTCCATGTGGCATTTAATAATTAGTTCTTTTGTAAAATCAGTGTAGATCGGCCGATGTGGTTGACTATTTTCCGATGGAACCTACAAACACCAATCAGATGAACAAAAATAATTTGACGGTTGTAGTTCTTAGGGGGACGACAGATGGTCAACGCCCAACGCCCTCGGCATCCGAGTATTCCAATAATCGGATGATTGTTTCAGCGATATAGGACTTGCCACACTCGAATGGTATCCCGTATATAGTCCAGACAAAATAGACAAAAAAAAAGAGTGAGGTTGCAAAAATTACCAACAAGCTGAATTTTTATACAGACCTTAAATACGTCATTGTAAATGAAATGTCAAAAGTCCCCATCCATCCCTTACCTTTGTCCCTTTGCAGTATCAGATGTTTCCAGGTAATAGGTTTGATGTCATTAAGGCTACCTCTTTGACTTTCCAAGAAATTTCCCAGGTACATCTTATATTTTCTACCTCTCCCAAAATTCTATAATATATAAATTGAGAGTCTACTGTGATTAGGTCCATTTCTGATTGATGATTGTGAGAGTTCAATACTGTGTCTTGTAGCGAAATATTTTTCTATTGTATTTAATGAAAATAAGTTTGGCTGTTTCTCATATAGTTGTGGAAGACGAAATGTATTCAAATTCTGGAGTAAACCCCACGGGTAACAATAGTGTTACTAATGCCGGTGACAAAAATGAGGAGCGGAAATATTATGGTGAAGGTGAAGTTGGGGAAATCCGGAGAGTATGCAGATACTGTTCTGGTGGCTGTTTCTGCAGTCCGACAGATTTCTTCAGCCCCATTGGTTCCGATCCTGAATGCTGCTGTCTTCGGCTCAAAAATATGCAAGGGGAGGATATGACCGAGGACGAGGAGCCATGTTTACCAGATGCTGATTCAGGTAATTACTTGTTATTTCCTTTGAAACGCCTCATATCTTTAGGACTGATTGAATGACGTTCTTGTTCGTCCGTTTTGGAAAAGATTAGTGTAGAAAGTTTTTGCTCTGATTTAGTTTTTCGAATTAAAATTTTTCTAACCTCTTCTTTCTTGGACTCATACTGGAGAAAAACCATTTCAGTGTAAAATCTGTTCAACATCTTTTGCTACAAGCGGCAACTTGAGACGTCATGAGAGGACTCATACTGGAGAAAAGCCATTTCAGTGTAAAATCTGTTCAAAGTCTTTTGGCTACCGTAGCAATTTGAGATGTCATGAGCGGACTCATACTAAACGTGTATAGGATCTTTCAGTCGAAGTATATATTTGCGAGCTCACGAGAGAAGTTTGAATTTTCAGTATTTATGATATGATATTTTATTCCATTTTATCTTTATGTTATTTATATGAATAAATCACATTACAAATGTTATTTGTCAGTTTAAAGTGATAGTACTTATGATGCACTGTTTGGAATCTTTGGTGTAGTAATGAATATTACTGCATTTTTTTCCCACCACCAAATCGTTATTTTCAACACCTCGACACGTGTTTCGATCACCAAGTGATCATCTTCAAAGAGGAAGATTAAAATAGAAACTAATGCGAGCTAACCCTATTTATGCTTTAAAGGTAACCCATACAGGTAAACCATCCAGGCGTACCAACTTACTGTGGTTGGTGGAAAGATTACTCTACTGAGATCAGACGAAACTTTAATAAATTCACGGATACACAAAAATGACACATCGGGAAATACATATTTTTTTACTTTGAGAGAGAATTTTGCTTGATATTTCATTTTTTTCTTCTTCAATTTATATAATTCTTTCTCGACAGTGTAATATAGAAATATTGCAGGTGGAAATGTGAGGAAAATATCTGTTGCATTTCTCAATACTAGGTCTTTGATTTGCCATTGTGCCGAATTCAAATCCCTTTTATTAAAAGAGAAATTTGATATTTTTGGAGTATCAGAAACATGGCTAACATTTCGACTAAATTAAGGGATATTCATTAATTCGTAAAGGAATTTCTTCCATAGTATCAACGATCTACGAAGGATTTTGGTACATGACAACGTTTTCAAATCCACCAAGAAGATATAACAGAGTCTCAGGTCGTCTAAAGACACAAGAGATCCACAAACACACGGCTAATTTCAACAGAAAAGAAGAAGCGGTGAACCTCAATTAAATATGGAATCCCATTCTAAGAAGTTCAAGGATAGCAAAGAGCATGACAGCATGTAGAAAAGGGTCGACGAATGTTATTGACAACTTACCTAATCCAGGTACAGGTATTAGCACACCAAACGACATGAGTCAACATAAATAAGCTTCACGCAGCAGTAATATCCAGTCATCGGAGATAAACTCACGATGTATAAACCTCTGAAGAAGCTAGCCACTCGCACCAGTTAAACGCCAGGAAGAAATTCCAAAAATCGTCGGCCTTCAAACCCGAAAAATAATGATACTGAAAACCTCGGCCGCGAAAGCCTTAACCATTTTGTCATTAAAATGCGAGTGTTCCATATGAATCACTAAAAGTTATAGATTCATGTAATCGATCTCCTCTTTGTAAAGCGTGGCTCGCTATCGTTAATATGTCAGCTACAGCAGCGCCATGCGAACGTATTTATGTCAACTATATCGATCTATATGTTCGTGAATTTCGTTTCTGTTCAATATCATTTAGGCGCAAGTTTTCAATTTGATAATCATTTTTTAGAATGAATTACAGACAATAACTACAACTGGCTATGCATTTGTCAGCTGAGGAAAACAAACAATTATACGCACCTGCAAGACCAGCTGTTTGCATAGGTTTGCGAAATGGAGTGCATTGTCGCGGTTGTTGGTTGCCATGTCAACGCACACATCGATGACGCCCTGAAGTTTCTGCCATGTGTCTATCTTTTTCACATTTGATATCATGTTATTCTCCATTTCCTGGGGCGTCAGTTTGAATATCATCCATCGTACCGTCCTGTATAGCCTCTGAGTCTCCTTATCCTTAAAACCATAAAAATTATCAACACACAAAAATGTAGAAATGGAGAAAACTTAACAAATAAAAAACTTGAATAGAAAATTCGAATACTCATAACATGATTTGTAGATTTTTTATTAAGTTTCATCATCATCATGATGAAACTGGAAGAACAGGTCAAACTTTATGCTGATGATACAACTTTATTATATTTGGGTAAAGACATTGATGTCAAATGTGGACATGTTCAAAATGACCTAAGTATGATATTAATGTGGCTTCAGTCACATAAATTAACCTTGAATTTTGATAAATCAACATCCCCCTTTCTTCTGATTAAAAAATATTTTTTTATAAACAAACTACCAGATTTTTTTTTCAGCATAGTCTCATTTTTACTCTACAAACTTCTACCAGCGATGCCTCCATCTCTGTAACCCGTCCAAATACTGCTCGGCATAATTCTCTGCAAAATAATTATACGAAGGTGATTGCCTCTTCATTTTACGAAGTCTCAGTCCTCCGAGCATAATTTTTAGATGACGTAACAAAAAGGAGTCGCTTGGTGCTAAATCTGATGATAGTCAAGCAGTTCAACCGCTGAGGAATGAGATGGTGTGTTGTCTTGGTGAAACACGATTTTCGTTTCCTGCAAATTTGTCCGGCTTTCCGTAAGTTCCACTTGTCAAGTAATGATTAAAATAACTCCATGACTATCCAAATACACAATCGCCATCACTTTCCCAGCCGAAAAAACAGTTTTTGCTTTTTTTTGTAGCCGGTTCCCGCTTTTGCAGTCCACTGTTTGGACTGTATTTTTGTTTCGAACGTATAATCGTGTATCCAAGTTTCATCTACAGTAATTAATCGGCACCAAAACTCAGATTTATTGTGCCTAAATTGCGCCAACACAGCGCTGGAAATGTTCATTCGAACACGTTCAAGGTCTAATGTGAGCAAGCGCGGCATCCAACGCGCGGACAGCTCTCTCAAGCCTAAATCTTGATTTAATATGTGACAAATACGTCTTTTTGACATGTTCATAACCTCTGCTATCTCTCTCACTTTCATTCGGCAGATGTCTATCACCATTTGGTGAACTTTGGCGATGTTCATCGTCTCCCAAGCTCTTACGGCCACATTCACTGTGGTAAATGATGATGCCGAGTCCCCATACACAGAATGCAACTCATCTTTGATTTGCGTAGGCGTATTGCCTTTCAAATATTAATTGACAGCTCGATACTCGATTTTGTCCATTTTCATAAAAACACTCACATCAACTCACTCAAACGACTGTTACATAACAACTGCGCGTCAAAAATGGTTGAAACTTTTGCGAAACAGATGAACAACAAAATTCACTTGCTTTTATTTACGAGTGCTTCATGTCGAAAGCTTTTCAGACCACCCTCGTATACAAAAAATAAAAGCCAGAATTATTCTCTTTTTAGGTATTTTGTACGAAATAAGGATGTATGTCCCAATAATTTGTTTGAAAAATATTTTTCACTTATTTATTCTAGATTTCCATACATGATTCCCATTAAGGGATCTCAATCAATCAATCAAAAAAACTCTTGTTTTGTTAACAAAGTAGAATATACACGTACAGAAATAAAATTTAGGCAAAATACACATAATTATGTAAAATATAAATAAAATAGAATAAAAATAAAATTAGAAACGGCGAAAAAATCAAAGAAAAGGAAAAAATTCATACAAAACCAAAGACTGGAGGTACTATAACGAAAATTGAAAGTGAAAGTAACATTCAAGGTGAAACAAATAGAAAAGCGCTTTAATTTCAACGCATACCAGCCTTTCGTAGCAAACTAATCATGAAATCTGAGGGTCTGCCAGCCACGGAAGATCTGCCAGCCAAGGAAGATCTTCCATCACCCTGGAAAAAATCAATTTTTCAGCAGTCATCAGTTATTCTTTAAACTCAATCGTCGAATGAATTGACTTACAGAATCTCAGAGTATACAAGAAAAAGAATACTTACGTCACATCCGTCAGCTAAAATAACGTCGGGAATATTTTCCGGAACTTTCCGACTCGCCGGAACGTCTTTCAGAGCCAAAAGAAAGTCTCGCTTGTAAACTTTCAAACCATTCGGGTTGGTTGGTGACCACTGACCTAAAACAACAATTATATTCAAAGGAGAAATGTTGTCACCTTGTATAGGCTGTCTAAGACTATCTACAGATTGGAGGTCGTGAATTTAAAAAAAAATAATATTGCTTTTTTTATATATGAGACTTGCTGTACACGCTGCTGCAAGGTGCTGAAAGATAGATGCACTGCTTAGGTTATCAATGAATAATGCCTTTTCTTGCATTGACCTGGCCCAAAGGTTTTGCAACCCCTACTCCTCCGAGCTCACCCCCATCCCTTCGTGCAACCGGCGCGAAACGTCGGACATATGGAGAAACAAACCAACGGGGTAGAAGACCCAATTCCCCTTGTTAAAATAAAATTACTATATTGGCATCATACAAATAATTAGGTACCTACAATGCAAATAATAAAAATAAAACTAAAACTAACAATTCTCCTGTTCTTGCTAACTCAGAAGAGTAAAAGAACAAAAATAAAGTTTCATAATACAGTATCCCTACTCTTAATAATTCCATCCCAAATACAAACAAAAACATACAGTACAAGGAGTTATAATACAGATTCCATGGCCTGCCCCAAATGGGGAGACAAATCACTCCTCAGTGGCAGCTTTACGTCGGATTCAACAGTGCCAATCTACACAAAAAATCTGGCAGCTTACCACTTTTCATTCCGCTCATCCCTCACCACATCATCAGCCCAATCCATTATGAGTCGTATCCATTCATTCCTTCTTCCGTTCACGATCGTCAATATTATTTCTCCATTCGTCTGTTCCGTGCTTTCCTTCCATTCATACCATCCAATCCTGTCTCCATACATACATCTTTTAATCACATACTCTGCTGTTTCCGGTTCCCCATAGTCACAGGGGCACGGCACCTCCGGTCCCAGGTTAAACCTTTCCAGGTATCCCGAGAAGTTGCCATGCCCAGTATGTAGCTGAACAGCCTTCCACGACTGATTCAGTGATTCATAACAGACTGTTCTATAGATCCAGTAGAACAGTGGCCCAGTCGTGCCTCTCTCCTATTCCCATTGCCATTCTTTCCTGATACTCTCTTTAATCCTCTTTCTCTCCCCATTCTTACTATCTATTTTTCTCCCAATCCATACCCTTGGCAGCTTCTTCATACAGTTTTTGTTGCCTTCATTGTCAAAGTCATATCCCTTCTGCCATGTCCCTTCCCTGCCCACTTATACTCTTCTACTCAATCATCCTCTGAATCATCGCCACTCTTATTCTTCACTCGCCTTGCTTTTATTCGTTCCACAGCCATGGAAGAGTCACCAATTACAGTCACGCTCTCATCCATGCTTCACATATTGTGATCACTCTTTCTCTCACAAACAGCTCTGCCTCATTCGCGCTGCTCTGTCCGGTGATCCTTTCATTCCCTGTTATCCATTCAACCTCCCCACATTCATACGCCCAGCCTATCCCCATTCTTCCGTTCTCCAACCTCGCTCTGGCATCCACATGCACTTCAGTAATTCCTTCGTCCTCCATTCCCTCCAGCAACATGCCTTGCTTCCAAGGAAATATCTTATTTTCTCCTTTCACTCTGTTCTCAATCTCCCTTGCCCCATACACCGAGATTACACTGTTTTTTCCTATCACTTCCTTATGGTGGTGTATAAAAAGTAAATCTGAGTCCACCACAATTCCAAGATATGACCGGGGGTCTTTTATCCCTACTAGCTGGTATGTAAGTAATATAGCTAGAGAGTTCTGAGCCATTCCTTATGGAAAAACACGTGCAAATTTGAGCTGGTTCATTCTGGCGATTTTTGGACCTCAGATCCTTCCCACGGAAGGGACAAAGGTCTCCGCCTCGTCTCTGCCATACGTCCATTCTGTGTGAATTGTGCCTTAGACTTTCAGAGCCCACTCCTCCACTTTTGCCGTTATACAGTCGACCAATCAGAAGCTACCGCACGTACAGCGGGAAATTCAAATCAATCAGTAGAGGAACAAAGCGACTTCTGGCCCACTTCAAGGTCGCGCGTCGTTGGTTGGTGTTTCAAAGAGACTTTAGCGAGTGGAAGAGAGAAACGTGTGACGTAATCTTTGCAGGGTGGAATGTGTATCGGAGAGATCCAAAGAGCGTGGCCTCTTTGGGACTCTGCCCCTGCTCCTCGGGTCCACTTGGAACTCCGCCTTACCCCTAGGGCCCACTTAGTACTTCGCCTCACCTCTTGGTCTCCCTTGTCACATACCAGTTACGTGGTCCTAATTAAAAAAAAAACTTTTTGGTATGAGATTCGAACCTAGGACGTCGGCGTGGTAGACGTTGTCCTTAGCCTCGATACCAACGTGGGATATTGGAAGTCATTGCGAATTGTTAATATTTATAGCGGTTGTTTTATCGGGATCAAATTTGACTCATTTTCTATACTGAACCTCACTTCTGGATTTCCGTGGAATTTTAGGGAAATTGTAACCTCATTTGCTTGTAGAAAACAGGAAAATATCCTTAGATTTGGGGAAGAATTTATGTTTCACATAAAGGTGGGTGTTTGTAAGACTGAGAGACGTAGTCGATGGAAAGAGAGATGGAAATGGTATCGAGGTTATACGTCGCTAGCACTAGCACGACAGTTTCGGTGTTGTCGATTGTAAAATAATTTGCTGTTTATGGGGCGACGTAGCATTTGAAGCGTTGCTGGTTTCAAAATTGATCATGAAGGAATACGACTCGATGAAAATTGTATATTGAAAGCGCGAAAGTGATATATTAATAATGATGACTCAAATTTAAGGAAAAATATGACAGTTTAAAACTTCAACGTGCGGCCCCTCAATGTGTACAGGGTGTCTCAAAATACATCATTCCAGAAAAAAACATGGTATCAATATATATACAGGGCCTTTCAAAATACATCTCTCCTCCCATGCTTTCCATTCCTCCCATATCATCTATCCTCTATGCTATCAGCCAGCTGGTCATACGCGTAGGCCTGCACTTGTATACCAAATGTACCAATGCCTTGACCAACTAACTTTCATGCTACTGATTCGCTTTAACCATGCCTCCATCACTATCAGCCATAGTGTCGGTTCCAGACTAGAGTCTTGTGGGCAGCCGCTTTTCACCGTTTCAGAAACCGCCCCACAGGTGACTGTTCTCCCTCCTATGAAACTCATAGATGTCTTCCCCAGATTTTTCGGCATTCCCAATCGTGTCATAAACCCCTCAATTGCAGGTGCCTACGCGGTATTGAAATCGTTTGGCTGGTCAAACGCCACAACCAGACTTGGCCTTCCTCTTTTTTTCTGTTTTATCTTTTCTACAGCCATTACAGTATCAATATTCCCTTTGCAATCAAATTAGTTAGGAGATTATTTCAACTTGGTTTTAAATTATCGTGAAAAGTTCTTTCCCTGGCAGTTGTATATTTGTTAGATATCTTATTATCACCTGTAAAGATAGAAGTTATCCTCAACATTGAGAATAATATGATAGTTTTTTATGAAGAAAAGAGAATTGAAACTTTCTATGTTTTTTACCATTTTTATTTGTAACTACCTTAACTGTAGTTTCGTCCTATAAGTTATTTCATAACTTATTTTTTTATTTTTATTTTATCAAAAAAATTGGATAAAAACCAACCCCACATAGGAGGATAATGGTTTTGTAACCAATTTTAGGTGAAAATTTATTACCTCTACAAAGAGACGAGTTTTTGTATCTCCAAGAAAGGTTCTTTCCCAGTACGTACAGTAACCCACTCTGTATTAAAACTTGGGAATTCAAATTCAAAATACACCCATCATTTTTCAAGACAAATTTGAATAATACACATTTTACTATTTCTTACCTCTCCTATAAGGTAACAAAGCGTTGAGATTTGAAAAGTCATTCTCGATTCCGGCGTCGTTTTCAACCACAGCGTCGTTCTTGTCGCTGACATCTGACTTGAGGCTGGTGTACTTGGCGCCGATATCGCCCTTGAGACTGGAATCCTTCTTGACGGCGATCACGTCCTTGAGGTTGGCGTCCTTTTTAACGCCGATTTTGTCTTTGACACTGGTGTCGCTCTCGGTACCTATGGCGCTTTTCGTGCCGTCATACCCCTTGACGATGGTAGCGTTCTTGACGTAGACGTCGTTCTTGAATCTAGTGTCACTATTTACGCCGACGTCGTTCTGGCTGCCGGAACCGTACTTGGCGTTTATGCCCTTCTTGAAACAATTGTCGTTATTAGCTCCGAACGCAATCTTGTTACCGGTATCCTTGGCACCAGAGCCGCTTTGGACGCTGTCGTTCTTTTTGGTGCCGGCGTCGTTCTTGGTACCGACATCGTTTTTGCCAACGGCATCGTTTTTGGTACCGGCATAGTTCTTGGTGCTGATGCCGTTCTTGAAACTATTGTCGTTATTGGCACCGACGGCGATCTTGTTACCGGTGTCCTTGGCGTTAGAGTCGTTTATTTTGGTACTGGCGTCGGTTTTTGTACCAGCATCGGTTTTGGTGTCGGCATTGCCGGCTGCGTTCTTGTTACCGGGGTCCTTGGCGCTAGAGTCGTTCTCGACGCCGTCGTTATTTTTGGTACCGGCGTCGGTTTTGGTACTTTTGGTACCGGCGTCGGTTTTGGTGCCGGCATCGTACATGGCGCCGATACCGTTTTTGAGTCTAATGTCGTTATTGATGCTGACATCGTTCTGGGTGCCGGCACCGTTCTTGGCGTGTATGCCCTTCTTGAAACTATTGTCGTTATTAGCTCCGAGGGCAATCTTGTTACCGGTGTCCTTGGTGTCAGAGTCGTTCTCGAACCCGTCATTTTTGCTGCTGGCGTCGATTTCGGCTACAGCTTTGTTCTTAACAATGGCATCGTTCTTGAGGCTGGAATCCATCTCGTCCTTGAGGCTGGCGTTCTTCTTAACGCCGATCTCGTCCGTGACACTAGTATTGCTCTCTTTACCTACGGCGCTTTCCGTGCCGGCATGTCCAATGACGATGGTGTCGTTTTTGGTGACAGCATCGTTCCTGGTGCTATTGATGCCGGCATTGTACTTATCATATATGCCCTTCTTGAAACTATGGTCGTTATTGGCGTCGACGGCAATCTTGTTACCGGTGTCCTTGACCTTGTAGACGTTCCTGATTCCAGTGTCTGTTTTTTCGCCGACGTTGTTCTTGTGGCCGACCGCCGCTGGCGTCAGTAACTTAGGAGGTGACAGCACGGAGTCGACACTAATATTGTTGCTCAGAGGCTGGCCTGTGGTGGTTCCACTCACTTTGTTATTATCGACGGTTGTTTGTGGCTGGTGCTCTTTTTGATTAGAAGCTGCCAAAGAGATAAATTGTTCCCTATCTGTAACCAAAAACTGTATTATGAATATATTGACTCAATAAAAATTAATAACACCACCCAAGTCAATGATTGAACAATTTCCACTCTATGAACTTTACTCAAGGTGATTTTAAGAAATAGTGATTACAATATAATATCGGTTCTAGAAAAGCAGGTGAATTTAAAATAATATGTGATTAGTAATGAATAATTCTCGGATTTTAATTTCTGTATGTAACATATCGAGGTTGTTTTATAAAAGGTGGCAAGTATATGCAGAATTGGTCTTCTACAGTTCAAAACTTCTTTTGTTAATGTGTCCGCCGCTAAATCGGCTTATTTCTCACTCACTGACTCTCACTCATGGTATGGAATTTCCTTCTGGAGAGTGTCTTGCAAAACTCAATTGCAATTTTATTATACATAAAAAAGCTATATGATTCATGTGCAATGCCAAAAGTGGAGACTTCTGTAAACCCTCATTTGAACTACCAAAATTTTGACAAGTTTTTGAAATTTTTATTTTAGAAACAATCTGATTAACAAACATAAACTGATATTTAGCGGCCACTTCAATGATTATGCCCTTCGTCAAGTAAATGACCTAAGATTACCCTTACCAGCATCTACTCTTGTCAAAGACTCCTTATATTATAAGTCTTAAGATGTTTATTCATTCACCTGG